TCCTTACTCAGTTGAAATGATGATACAGAAATGAACATCTAGACCAAAACATCTTGCTCCTACCTTTTGTGTTGCTCTCTAGCATTTGTAAGCTCCTTTTGAGGGTGGAAAAGATTAATAGCATTACAATGCAAAGATAGAAATTACATTTGAAACTATGTAATTTCTTTATAGTGCAGAATTAAGGAGGAGAGAAAACAGGGGAGATGGAGAACACAAAGTAGAGGAAAGGATAAAGTGGGTAGGGCAGAGAGGAAAAAGAGGAAACAGATGTTGGAACACTGCAGGCAATGATAGATTACGATGTGGGATTTAAGGGAAAAAAACAAGAAAAATAGAGTAGTAAGAGAAAGAAAGCTTAGCAAAGAAAGACATTTTCAGAAAAGAAGTTTGATTAAATGTTGATGATCTTAAATACAGAAAATCTGTGTATAAAATGAAGTTATATTTCTTTAAATTGGGGAAATTGTGAAAGCCAAGCTATTTTACATTTTTTCCCAGTAGATTTAATCTTGAGGCTAGGCTATTCTAAGTGGCTAGAAATAGCTATTTTCGCGGGTCATGCAGCTACATGACATTTATTTTTCCTTTTTATAATGGAAAACATAATTTTCTTGTAAAAGAAGGTCAAATATTTGAAACTTGCATAATTTTTTTTTTCCAGATTATAATTTCTAGCAATGCACAGTTTCTACCAGCTATTTGTCTGATGCTTCCAGCTATTGGTTTTTTGCTATTTATGTGAAGTATTTCTTGGGAGACAGGCATAATGAGCCATAGAGATAATGAGAGGGATATGTTGGAAGACCAAATTTTGAGTTCTTCTGTGAGGAACCAGTTTCAGAAGGATACAAATTCTCAGTTTGGGATTTATGGTTTGCCGTTTGATAAGCAAGAACAGCAGATTGGTTTATATTGTTTCATTCTTTTTAGTGTGATGTTTCCAATCTGCTTACAGTAAATTTTAGGCTGGAAATTTGCTGCTAATTACTGGCAATGCATACAAGTTAATTTCTTTCTCTTCCATCCCCAAGGAGAGCGGGCTTTTGGTTTATATAGTTAAAATATAGAAAAGGTCTCACATGGCTTGAAATACAACCTTAGTGTCTTGGGCCGGTAATGCAGAACAATGGGAGATACAGGAGGAGCAGAGGAAATTGATTTGGGAACTTTGCCAGTGGCTTAGTTGGTTGGGTTACAGGAGGCTGGACATCTGTGGAAGTAGGTAACTGCTTCCAAATGGTCTTAAATAACTTAAAACCCAGTAAAGAGCAAATTAAGAATAACTTACTCTGCCTCACTAGGGAGAAAGTGAAGATACACTGGACATTTTTCTCCGAGTTTTTCTACAAGAGTCTTTAAGAAATTTTTTTTTATGGTGGGCAGAAGGGCCTGAGTTTTTTTTATTTTGTCCTCTCTTCCCTCTGTAGCCATGTATGATTGTTTTGATTCTTATTTTATTTTTTAGCCTGAGACTGAACCGTCTCGCCGATTCTTTGTTGACCAGTGGGAGCTTTCCCTTAGCCTCCGTTCTTCTAATCGCCCTTCTTCACCTTCATCTGACTCTCTTCGACAGGTAGCATTAGCCTGAGCGTTGCAAGGTGCACTCAGCTGTGTTCGCTTGCTGCACCCTGGTCCCACCAGCCAAAGACACACCACAAGAGATGGCTAGGCTTGCAATGCTTCACCTGCAGAATGCAATGTCTGTGCATATTCATGCACAAATGAGAAGCCAGAGGCAACCTGTGGCGTAGCTTGGTTATTGTCAGCCATAAAGCAGTTTAAAACTAAATATATTTAACATTTGGTGTAAATGAAAAGCTTGTGGTACATCTCACTCTCAAATCAGTTTTTTTGAGCACTGATAGTCCTTCTGGCTTTACAGTAAAGCTTTCTTGTTTTGCTTGCTGCTTCTGTTGAGATCTTGGGCCAAACTGCAGAATGTGTTTGTGCATATATGCTTAATGGACAGCGTGAAACAAAAAGTACTTTGGCTTTCTGAAGAATCACTGAGAATTTGAACTAGTTGCAGTTGTCATACATAAACACCAGGAACTTGATTTGACCTAAGCTGGAGTGGGTTCTTTGCCCACTCTTGAAAATGTTGCAGAACGTTGTATATCTTGAAGGCTTTTGCCCACGGGAGAAAAGATAAAATGCTTCATTTAAAACCTAGTATTAGGCCAGATGTGATGTATAGCAAAAAAGCAAAACAAATCAGAAACACAGAACCCCAAATGAAAAATTCAGCAACTAAATTTCCCACACCAAATAGTCCAAGGTATTGTGAGTTAAGATCAGCATAATCACTTGTTAAGCGTGGAACTTCATATGTGCCAGTAGAAATGTAAAGATCCTGAAGCATCTGCAGTTAAGGTTGGATGAAGGTTTCAAATCAAAACTTGTTCAGTGGAAACCTGGTTCAGCTAAAACAAAATTTTTCTCATGGAAAAGCTTGAACTGTCTTTTAAGAAAACTTAAAAAGCCTCAAAGGTTTCTGGTCTTTTAGAGGAAAATGGAAAACTCCTGGCCAAATGATTATGGTTGCCATTGAAGATCAGCATTGAATGAAAGGAAGAAAATTTTCCCAGCGGGCAGCATTTTAAAATGTAATATTTGACAAGATATGATGTATGACATTTGAAAAGCATGGCATTGAAAGACCTGGAAAATTTTGGAAGACAAATCATGTGTTATTTCTTGCATATATAAATACTGTGGGTGCTCTGCATTTTGGGGTGGAATCGGTAGACAGGTAGAAGTTCTTTCTGGGTAGAAAATAAACCCTCATTACTGCAGTGGCCCAGAGCTTAAGAAATTTGGACTTCAGTGGTAGCAGTGATAATCTCTGATGGCTGAGCACTCCATTTTCAAAATCTTTTTCCTCAAAGTACCACCCATTCTGTGGTGAATTTCAGCTTTTGTGATGCTTCCTGCTGTTCTCATGTCTGAACATGTGAAGGTCTTAAACATTCCTAAAAGGCTAATAACTATACGTATGAAATTTATGCTGTTTTATTAGTTGTGGGAAGTAACTAGTGTGCTTCAAACAAGTTCTGCTATATGAGTAACGGGGGTTTTGAGATACAACTTTAGTCCTTTCCTTCAGAATACTGTTATCCTTGGTATTTTACACTTGCCAGAAGCTAGAGTTCCTCTCTGATGATCCTTCATTTGCTGAGGAGACTCCAGCTAGAAACATTCATAGCGCTTCTTAGTCTGGAAAAGGAAAATTGCTTGGCGTGCCCCTTGCTGCTTTGAGTCAAATACATGGCATTTGCAGTGTGATTGAGCTAACAGGGTTGTAGCCACATAATTTTCTTAACCATGTAATTATTGCCAACGGTTGTAAGTATTTCCTGTGAAAAACACTTCCTCTGCTCCTGCAGGGACTGAACTTGGCTTGCAAACATTCATTTTGTACCATCTAAGGTAACAGCCAACCTACCTAGATTTCTCAGAATACTGGGGGGTTTTTAGATATCCAAAGTTATGGGCTCAGTCAATACCCATGATGGAGAAAAGCCTAGTCATAAAGCAGTGTTCACAGTTGAACAAGTATATGTTCCAGACATATACAGGTATGGCTTAATGCATTGGATGAGGCTCTTGCATCTTTTTTCATATAAACCTCTATGTATTTTTAGCATTGGAAGAATTATTTTTGAATCCCTGTGAGTTCCTTAGTTAAGGATTTCTTCCTGCTCTATGAATGCTCTGTAAATGAATTCTTTCCAGTTGTTAAGCATATAAATATGCTGTTGTGATCAGCATGGTACACTAGACTATGTAACGTGTCTTCTAAAAGATCTTTGTTTCTGATGCCAATTTTACCTGGAACCTAAAATCTTAACCTATATTTGGCCTTGTCTTTGAGAAGTGTCTATGCTCAGGTTTCCAGGTGCAAAATACCCCACAAGCAAAAATAAGATCTGCTTTCTTCATCATCATCATAGTATTTCTAGAGCAGTTACAGAAGGCAAAATGCAAGCCGCCTTTACTGTTGTTTCAGTTGATCCTGGACTGTACTGGTGATTTCTGACGACACTAGTAGCTTTGCTATTACTACTTGTCACTTCATATTGTCCACTGTCTTGGCATGATTTGACCTTTCTGCACCTTTTCACCACCTAACCTATTATCATTTTAGTCATTTTTTAATTTGATTTTTTTTCTTTTCTCACTGCCCTATTGTTTTATTCCATCCATCTGGTAGAAGTATATAAAGATGTACACAGGCGGAGTGAGCTCATTGGCTGAGCAGATAGCCAATCAGCTTCAAAGGAAAGAGCAACCCAAAACCCTTCTAGACAAGAAGGAACTGGTAAGACGATGTACAGAAGATGATGCGTGTTTGTGATTAGATGTACTGTAGATCTGAAATATTGTGAGTGTCCAGTTGTTACTACCACTGATGGAATCTGTCATAGCTTTGTGAAAGACTTAATTTCCCTTTCTCCATCTGCCCTCACTCTTGTCCTCATTTTCCTTGCAAAATCTTTTAACCTAATCTCAGCATCCAAGAGTTGTGCATAAACGTTTGAGAAACTGCTTGCCCTATCTATGATGATGTGTTTGATCCACTGGGGCCACTTCTGCCTTATTGTTTTCTGGAGGAGATACTGATTTTGATAATGTAGGTCTAAGAATTGCTGTTTGAGGGATTTCTAATGGTTTTGACTTTCCATCATATGCCTCCTTCAGTCATTTATTTCAAGGTTATCATTAATTAGTACTGGTGTCCACTCTTCCATCCAGAGCTTATTTTACTCTTGACATATGTAGGCATGGCACCCTAGGACCTTCTTCCTTGGACAGTAAGGTTAGTTTTTGGTGTCCTGGTTAGACCTGTGAATTGTGTCCAAGAACTGCAGCATCCATGTGTGAAAAACTGCAGCATCCAGATGCTCCTGTATCCGCATAAATGAAGAGAAAATATGACCATGCAATCTTGGTGAGGCCGGACACACACAAATTTAGCCATGCCTGTTTCTGTCTAGGGCTCGCTCAAAAAGGAGTTCCCTCAAAACCTGGGAGGCAGTGATGTCTGTTATTTCTGCCGCAAGCGAGTCTATGTGATGGAAAGGCTGAGTGCTGAAGGCAAGTTCTTCCACCGCAGTTGCTTCAAGTGTGAATACTGTGCAACGACTCTGCGCTTGTCATCTTACGCCTACGATATTGAAGATGGTAAGAGAAATTGCCTTTTTGTTGGAATTCTCTTAACTGTCCTGGAAGCCTGTCTAGTGATTTCAGCTCTCTCTTCACTTAAAAATTATTTGGTGAGTTAGGGAAGAGAGTAACTTCCGTTCCAAAGACACCATCTTTCAAACTGTTAAAACTGTATGGATTTCCTGTGGAGGTCATGCTGACAGCAAAATAACTGAGCTGTTAGGCATTAATTTAACATAATAACAGCTGCTAGAATGCAAAGAAACAAATAGTGGTTGGGGGCTTTAAAAGGGTTTGGAGTCCGAGTTCAAAGGCTTGACCCTTTACTCTTACTTCAGTACCGTCAAATGAGGAAACTCTTAGTGTTTAATACCACTTAAGAGAAAATAACACATTGGAGACAAATGGAGCCAGCTTTTTCTTCTTGAAGACATCGCAACTGTCCAACTCTGTTTATTTTAGATGAACTAAAATAGGAATTTTATAATCAGAGGCTGTGGTAATAGCTCATTAAAGACTAAGTTCTGTTTATATAGCAAAAAAATGGAACATCGAAGTTGAGTAGAGGTAAGTCAATGTTATATATACAGAGAAAGTGTTGACGTAGTTACTGAAGACTCAGTAATGACTCTTGTTTTCTGTATGGGATAGACTGAGAAGGAAGGAATATGATTACAAAACTTGCTGATGACTCAGTTAACAGACTCTAACATGCTAAGAATTAAGGGAAGCTTCAGATATACCTAACAAATTTGAGAAACCAGACAATCTGGCAGCAGATGAAACTTAATTTATCAACAAAGTGTGCATATTGAAAGTAATAATTTGAAATCACACATCACTGGTGAAGAGTAATCTCCTAAGAGTAGCAATGGGTTGCATTCTTTGCTTGACTAGTGATTGACAGAAATTTCATGTTTTCTGAAGAAAAAATATGAGAAAGTATCTCAGATAAACCTTTATTTACATCAGTAGGTATGCCTTTACTTTCTTCCACAGCTGCCATTTATCTTTACTCCTATCTCAATAAAACATATGTGTAAAATGATGTAAAACTAGTGAGAGGTTAGGTGGAAAGGATTCTATACCAGACATGATGATGTAGAAATGAAAATCACAGGAGAAAAGTGTTAGTACTGATAGTTTTCCCCACTCATTGAGGCAAAGATGAAGTAAAAATTGTAAACTGATATGCTACAGGATGAAATTCTGAATATTCTACTGCCGATTGAAATGTTATAAAATTGATAGGTGTCTACTGTGTGTAGCTAGGAAGAATCTTTTTGCATATGCTGGGTAGAATAATGGCCATGGAAACACCATCTAGGCTTAAGGGGCAAAAAGAACCAAAATGATGTATTGATGATGCATTATATAATGACTTGACTTAATGGACTTGCTCGGTCATGAAGAGTTGAGGAAACTCAGAATCATCAAACCCGTCTCCCAGTAAGGAATAGAAACCCCATTATTACTTGTCCGGAAGGTCAGCAGACTTGGCATGCGAATTTAAATGGGCCAATGATAATTTTGAAATCAACATCTAAAAGTAAAAGCTTCACCAGTAATCAAAGTTGGGGAAAAATCATTTTTTGAGCGCTGCTGTTATTTTGGGCATTCACAAGTAACTGCATATCTGATTATATGATTAGCAATAACAGACTGAGCTCGTCTGTCAGCTCTATGGACTGAAACAGTTTTTGTCACCAGATTAGTGAATTCCCCCTGCCAGGAGGCTTATGTATGCATTTATGGCCAGATAGTTTTCAATGAAGCAAACACAAAGCTCGGAGTTTCAGCACAGTGATAGCATTGATTCTGAAATGATATTACATGCCTAACGCTTGTGTATGTATATGAAGCAGATATGGCCAAACAGAAATGTGTGCTATCCCATCTAATCTAATAATTGTGAAGATATAGCTTATATTTCATTCTGAGTTTTCTTTGAGAGAAAAAATAACAAAGCTATACATGCATTGTTGCTATTCATCTAGCTGTTTGGACTGATGAGTGTTCTGCAGCATTCTGCAGTCAGTGTCCGGTTTTAGGCTTCAAAGTCTGAGAATTTTTATGTAAGAGCTTTTCTGTTGTTGCTCTCCTCAGGCAATTTGGAAGAGCAGTTTTTGGAAACAGTAAATATTAAGAAATGTTTATTTAGGCAGAGACTTATCGAAAGATAGGATTTCTCACTTTTCCATCATAAAACAAAGCATTGTGCAAATACCAGTCCAGAGAAACTAAGAGGAGGGGACAAAGGTCAGAATAGAGGTTTGGAACGCATAGCAAAGCAGTAGGGATGCTGTGGGCTGCATATACCAAGCAGGATACGCTGACAAAGGTACACTGGAAAAGAATTATGTGCCATCCATTTGCTGCTATTATTATTATTTGTAATACGGTATTACTAGTGCTGCTTTGGCTTCCTGATAGTGTTCAGATACTGGTGAAAACCCATGTAGACTTCTGGGGTGTTACTAAACCAGTAGTATCACAAAAGGTCTTAATTGTGAAAATGAATCACTGGTTGATTGTCCTTTTCACAAGTAGCCACTGTGCATTTTTAGAGATGGTTCTTTGGGAGTTAACATTGTCCTCTCCCACTTTCCTCTGCTGGTTGTATTCATTCTTGCTTTTTCCAAAAGTGCTTCTGCCAGCTTTTCATGTGATGATTTCTTTGTTCCTCACACACTGCCGCATTGTTAGCATGTGATACCACACAAGCCTCACAGCTTTGCTTTGGTGTTTGATAGGATTTTAAGCTAAATGGCTGTCAGGCACCCAATGGAAAGGAGGCTAGCTAGGAGGGGAAGAGAGGAGGGCTGGAGTTAAAACTTCAGATAGTGTTTGCCTCCATGTGTAGTGAATAAACTAGATGGAGCAACAGAAATGGCAGCAGAAAATAAGTTGCAGTGAGGTGGACGTTTATATTGTGCTAAACTGCTGTGTTCTCATAGCTGACTGTCATTTGTGTTTTATCTGCAGGTAAATTCTACTGTAAGCCTCACTACTGTTACCGACTCTCTGGTTATGCTCAAAGGAAGAGGCCAGCAGTGGGTCCTCTGTCAGGAAAGGTAACATTATTTTCATCTAACATGTCATGTTAATAGGTTTTGATTCTTTACATTGAAAAAGTAAATATGCTGAGTTTTTTTCATAAAGTAGAAAAATTCAGAGCGCATTGAGTTGCTTTTTTATGTCATAAGATCTTTCAGTTTTATAAATTTTGTTTAAAAGGAGTTCCTTTACCACTTCTCTTTTCATGGTTCTTATTTTAAAATAATGTACTGTCCCATTCAGAACAGGATTTTGATTTGTTTTCTTGTCAGCTGAAACAGTTATTCAGTCCATGCAGAGACTAAATGAATTATAGTACCAGTTTTGGTTTTGCTTTCTTTCTCTATGTTTTTTCTTAAGATGAAACAAATTATTTGCATTTCCTTTGAAACTTGAAGCTCTACCCGACTTGCATAGGCTACAAAGACGACCTGCCTTCATTTCTGAAGGTTTTATGTGTGTTAATGGGAACCTGTGTGGAAAGAAAAGATATCCTTTTTCCTATACTATTGTAATGGAAGCATTTGTGCTTTAAATACAGGATAAAGATCCACTGTATAATACAGAAAAGTCTCCCAGCTTTTGTCATTACAGTCCAAGGCACTTGATTCTCTCCTCAACCCCCTTTTCAGTATTTTTGCATACTCTGTCTGAGCAAACTATATGGTAGTCTCTTAACAAGTTCTGTTAAGCTTGCATGCTACAAACTGTCCTTCCTCCTTAAATTATATTTTCCTTTGTGGTAGTGGTGGTGCTTGTCTTTTTGCCTGTTTGTCAGGTTTTATTAGTACAAGTTGAAGCTGTACTCTTTTTTTTTTTTTTTTTTTTTTTTTTTTGGAAGGATAAGGGATCCATCACAGTATTTGTGCTATACTTCCTGCCAAAAATAAAGACTAAAAACGGTACTTGTTTTATTTCCTAGATGAGCAGACTTCAGGGATCTTACTGCTTTGACTTTCTTGGATGTCCAGCTTGTTTTTCAGAGCTTTAATAAAGCCATAAATAGAGAAGGAACATACTTAGTTCAGACCTTGCCTTATGTGATGATTAAGGGGTATCTTAATTGCGAGAGGGATGTCTTCCAAGTTCAACGTGTTCAGTACATATAACCTCACATGAAAAAAAAAGGAGTATTGCTGAGGCATTGTCAATTTTACTATGAATTTAATTTCCCCCTCATTCTTACAGGACATCAAAGGACCTCAGCAGGACGCCATGGCAAGTGACGGAAGCGGACGGGCAAATACCATCTCCGCCGCAGCAGAGAGGGCCCCAGGTAGCTCCGCTTCCTTCTTTAGCAGGGTGGTGCAGTACTCTCTCGGCCTCTTTGACAGAGTTAGGGTGGCAAGCCAGCGCCTGCAAAGCACAGTTTCCTCGATTGGGCACCAGGTAGCCCAGAACCCTTTGGACTCCTTTTTCATGTGTCAGCTGATGGCTTTTGGGGTTCCCTTTCTCTATGTCCAGTCAGAAGTTCTTGTGCAGATCCTAGGGGAATTCTGTGGGCAGCCTGCTGACCAGTAAGAAGTAATGTGACCCAACTTTGAGCTGTATAATTTGTGTGATTTTTGGGGTGCCGTGTGAATTCCGTGCGTTACGTGAAAGTCTCAATATATTATTTTGCACTGTGGCTTTGGGGCCTAGATGTTCTCGGTCCTTTCAAGGACGTTATCTGGAAGAATTCCAGGAAAACACAGATGCTCGGTTGAGGGTCTCCTCTGAGTGGGCCCAGATAAAGAGCCCTGGTCTGTAATGTATGCAGCTCAGTGTTAGTGAAGTTAAAAGTTCTTCTGATGGACTGGAATAACTCTCAAACTGGATTTCTGTGTTTGCTTGAATTCTGGGTGTGGTTTCTTGTTCTCCCAAGCTTCTCTTCATTAATCTGGTACTTGAATGGGAAAGATCCCATTATCTCTGGATTGTTTCTCCTTTGGAATTCTGTGTGTCTCTGGCAGTTAATGGGATCGGATTCCTTAAACCCCTTGAATTTCGTGGTGCTGGCAGGTCATGGCGCTCTTCCCTCACTGCCAGAATCTGTGCTGCTCTTAGCCATGGCTTTGGGAATAGGGTGGTGAATGTGTGTGTCTTACTGTGAAGTAGTTTTGCCTTTTAACTTGAAATTCTAATTCCTTCTAACATGGGAGAAGTGTCTGTGCTACAAATGCTCGTTTGCCCAGCCCCTAAGTGCTCATTTAGTGATGTCAGAAAAAGGAAGAGATTTGATTCCTAATATTTGTTCCAGAACTAAATCAGCTGCTTTTAGAGATAGAACATACTTAGAGCAACACTTTGAGAAAAAAACGTTTTCACAGTGCTAGTTGAAAAAAGACCCTAACAACATGCAGGCAAATAAAAATCATGCTTTTGTTTGACTTTATGTATTATTCTTACAAGTGTTTCTAAGATTGTAACTGAATGCAGTCCAACAGAAATTTATTCTTAGTGTGTGCAGTTGATTCTTGAAGTGTAGTTACTTTCATGGTTTCCTCTTTTGTTTGTGTGGAATTTCCATATGGCAAAATGGAGGAAAGGGAAAAGGTATGGAAGAATGACATTTGCAAAATGCTGTGGACAGATGGGATAACTACAGCATTTTTTGTGCAACTGGATAGACTTCAAATTGCTTTCTCTAAAAGTGAAGAGGGTTTTTTTTTTTAGCTGGAGCATATTTGTTAAGATGAATGGAAAAAAAATATTTCTTGGAGCATAGGGCATCTGATGTGAGAATAGGATGGTTTATAGAGTGAAGCTATTGGTGATGTGAAGTGGAAGAAGGAGAGTTTAGAGAGAGAGAGAGAGATCTCAATGAGTTTATCAAAGCAATTGTTGGCAGAAAGTCTCCTTCCTCTGATTTAGTCCTTCCAACTGATAAAATTTAATTACTCACTTTTATAAACGAGCATTCAGTAAATGTCATCTAAGTGAACACTAAGTAGAGCAAGCAATAGGCCATGGTTTGCTATAAACTTCTATAAATCAGATATAAATGAGCTATAAATCAGATGTTTCAATCTCTCCATATGTAGTGGTCGCACAATCCTGTAGCAGAACTGTAGTATTTCCAGAGGAGTAAAATGGAACAGACACCATTTTATCAAATGGCAAAACTTGAAATCTAGGGCTCCTTCTGTTTGCTTTCTGCTTTTCTAAAGCAGTGTGTAACTGTAGCATCATTTTTAAAGCTTTTGGACCTTTTAAAGCTTTGCCTCTTGCAGTGCCCAAAGTACATTAGAGCATACTCAGCTTAGCTGGGTCAAGCTAGGTCGTCTTTAAGGCAGTGTATTGTGGTGCATTCTTGTGTGTGCATGACAGAAGGACATTTAATGGTAGAGGAGTGAGCAGTGCCTCTGCTGTTCTCCCCCTTTCTGGCAGAAAAATGCCATTAGTGACTGAGGTTTTGTTTTCTTTGTGAAGTAGGTTCTAAGTATTTCTTAAAACTACTGGCTTAACAATGGTTAAGAAGCGGGAGGAGGCTAAATGCAATGTACTTTAAAAGCAAGCCACAGTGTCATTAAAGACAGGTCAGTTCTCTGTTAGCATAACAGTCATCTCCTGTAGCTACCTACCTGTAGCTCTTGTTCTTGCTGGGTAGGTAGGTCAGGAAACCTGTGATGTGTTTACAGTTACATATGGCTCGAAAAAAAGAAAACGAACCAAACCCTTTTGAAGTAGCAACTTGATAGTACAGTGGCAGAGTAGGATATTATGCCTGAATAATCTAAAGGCGTCTATAAGATTACATCTCAGTATAACTCATGACTTTGAACTACCTGTGCATATGCTTTCTTGCGATTTATTAAATTGTCTGTTTAGGAGACTGTAGACATTCTGCTTTCGCTGTAGAGTAGACAAATACCTCGAGCAAAAACCTGTCTGAAATGGAGATAGAGGCAGAGCTCTGCTTCCAAGACTCTACTTCACCCATCTGGTAGACTCATCTAGTACAGGTCATATATCTGAAAATGTTTGACCTGCCTTAAGGCAAGTGCCACCAAATGGATTAGGCAATGGCAGTTTCAGAGACCCTGAGATCTGAGCCAATCCTCAGTAGTGAGGTAGATCTTGATGTGGAGTGTAAGTTGCCTCTAAAGTGATTAAGTTAAAATGATTAAGTAAAAAAAAAAAAGTGAAGTGTGCAGGTTTGATATTTGATAGAGATGTAAAGATAGCTTAGAAGGCAAAAGGAAGGTATACAGCAGAAATATCAATTAAAGAATACACAAGACAAAAACCCCACTGTTCTTAAATTTTATACCTCTGAGTTAAATTCAGCCCTGAGTTAGCAAGTGCTTGTTCAGTGAGCTTTACGGTGACTTGTGCAAGGCCTGCTTTTTAGATGCCGTGGAATCCCAAATGGATGTGAATTGCATGGGTTCTCCCGCGACACTCACTGCCTCTTTTGCTATGCCACCAAATCTGGCCTCTTCTTTTTTAGCCAGCATAATGCTTAAAATATATTCAACCACAAAATAACATTCAGAAGGTTTGGTCAGCTGAGGTAAGATTGGTCACAACAAGCACTTGTGATGTGTTACTAACCTGATTGGCATGTATTAACTTTGCTAAAGATGTCAGTCCCTCACTGGGTGGCCCCAGTCTTAGCTGGCATTTAATGTATTTTGTCTGTCCCTTGTATTGTAATGATGATAGTTGCAGGGCACAATTTGCGATAAGCAAGTTGAGGTTTTTTTTAGCAGTCAACTAGAATTGCCTGGTTTGCCAGAGAGCCTGCGTGGCATCTTACGTGGTGGTTACAAGGGATGTTCCCAGGGAGGTTATGGTCAAACTGGCTCTTGCAATATAGATCAACCCGTCAGTTTTGGAAGTGGCAACAAGCTTTTGAGTGATGGATGCCATTCTCTCTGGGGAAGGGAAGTCGGGGAAAGCTGTTACTGTGCTTTTGTTCCTGCTGAAAAACTGAACTGTGGCATGCTTGTCGTAGATTCTGTAACCTTTCTCTGTACCCTGTCTGCCTGTTTTTCTCTATCTTCTGCATTTGCCTTTGTGCCAAAATTGCTGCTGTTGCCAAGAGAAAAAAAAATACTTTGCTTTTCAACTGTCTTTCCCTTTAATAATCTGTAACTGCTGTGTCTTGAATTTTTTTGAATACTATTTACAGTACCTTATATGGTTTTAATGTGCTTGTAATGCAAATGCTGTTTTTCTGTTTGTTCTAAAGGTCTGTAAGAACATATTTCTCAACTTTCAGCTCTTTCTTGACAGATGGACTTGGAACAGTCTTTACTCCTATTAGCTTTATGATAATACTCCTTGGGGTGACTTTAGCCGATGATGTTTTGTTGTAAGATGTTTCCCATTCCAGGCTTGTGTTCTCACAGCAATACATTTCTGTCCCTATCGGCAATAGGGAGTTTGTAAAGGAAAGACCTGCTAGAGAAACTAATACTTCAAAATGTACAGCAATAAAAGGCAAGTAATGAGATCTTTGCAGTAGTTACTTGACCTGTGAAAAATTTAAGAAACCAAATATAAGCCATAGTATACAAAACCGAAAAATGCAATACAAAGTAGAGGCACTGGGTCTCCTGTTTTAAAATCACAAAAAAAAAATATAGTGTATATGATATAGATATGCAATATGAAAAGTTAAAAATCATCCTATGGATGTGCCTTAAATGTTTTCAGGGAGCAATGTTCTAAGCAAAGCCCTTCACAGTAGACTCTTAAACAAGTAATCTGTTGTATAGAGCAAGCAAGGCTGGACTTTACATGAGGAAGTCCTTTTGCTGACTTGGAGAGCTAGAGAAGGGTGGCTGCTTCCTCTAAATGACATGCCCTTTAAAGTAAATTATCTGAGCCACATTTTCAAAAGCATTTTTACTCTCTGTACAATTTTAATGACTCTTTATGAATGCATCCAATATTATTTGTACATAATTCCACTTCTGTGTCTAATGAAGTACGAATACATTTTATATATATTTCTGTATATGACATTGCCTCTTTACGGTTCTGTATACATTGAACATGCCTTACTTGTGAAAATGGTTCAGCTTGAAGCAATACTGTTTGCTTGTGCAAACAAACATATCTTCGTGGAATCCTCCACTTGGTCACTTCTTTCCATTATTATTCACATTTGGGTTTTGTTCTTGTTTTAATTTGGTCTGCTGTAAACATTAAATTACAGAAGATAGCAGCAAACTTAATTCTGTGACATCATCTTCTGTTTGTGGTGCCTTCATTTTAAACCACTGAACTGTGCATTTACAAGCACATCCATATCTAAAAAAGAAGTACATCCATCTTTCAGGGTGC